CTCTCTCTCTCTCTATAAGACGAAGCCCCCTCCCCCCCCCACTACGACTCTCTCTCTCTCTCTACGATTTCACCACCGCCCAAACCCATGTTCTACCTCCACGTGTCATACCCATCTACCCTCCACGTGTCTCGCACCCTGTCACCGCCCCAACGGCTACTTTTACCCTCCATTAATCAAATCCCCAGGCCCCAAAACCCCCCAAAAATATCATTAAAAAATTCCTTCTTAAACCAAACAAAATCGCCCCCAAATCTCTTCGATTCCCGCCCCCTCAAGTACCACCCCTCCCACCTCCGCCCCCCCCCCGCCCCCCCGTAATAGCAAGTCATCAATATCCCGGCCACTTATGACCCACTTTCCCGGCTAACCCCGGTTGACTTTCCCCGTCTCCAATAAAAATTAAAGCTTTTTATCATGGGGCCCTTCGACTCTTTAACAGCAACTGTGCAAATGCAGAGACTCTGTATCTTTTGCCCCTTGCACGAATCTTAATCTGGCCGGAATTCGGGCTGACTGCTCCGAGATTCTCGCCGGATAGATTTTCCGGCGATCTTCTCGGCGGACTATTCCTGGTGGGGTGTGTGGTTTTATACAAGTGGGGTGCTGGTTTTTGTGCAATGGGGAGTGAGGCGCCGGAAAATTTAGCCATGGCATCTTCTCTCCAAATTTCTTTTTCTTCTTCCACAGGTGAAACAGAGGAGGAAGAGCTTCATGTTTTAGCAGTAGATGATAGCCTTATTGATAGGATAGTTATTGAGAGATTGTTGAGGAGCTCTGCGTATAAAGGTGTGAAAAACAAATATTTCTGCTGTTTTTTTTGGGTTATTGTGTTTTATTTTAATTTTTTAAGGTTGTGGGGTTCTTTGGGTTGGACTTGTGTGTGTTAGTGATTGTCCTTTTTTGGATTTGCAGTGACAACTGCAGAGAGTGGGCCGAGGGCTTTGGAGCTGCTAGGACTGGGAGAAGAAGAGTCATATGAGGTGGCCACATTTCACTGTCTGTAGTTAACATTTCTCATTTGTAGACACCTTTGTTTTCTTTGTGTTATTGAGTGGTTAAGAATTGAAAGAAGCTGATACATATATACGCGCTAAATGAGTTCGGCTAGATCAGAGTTTTAAGGCGCAAATGTTTCGAGGGGCACTGCAATTCCTGCTATGTTTTTTCTGTTTTGTTAATGTAATTTTTGCATTTGAGCCCTGCTTTATTTTTCATTTTATCGTATTTCTTGTCACTTTTCTATGGATTGGTTACGTGGGTCTCCCATATACTAAACTAGTTGAATTGACTTTTTTTTTCCATTTCCTGGTAAAATAAGTGACATTTCAATGTTTTATTTTAGCAGAACCCAAAGGTCAATATGATAATTACAGACTACTGCATGCCTGAAATGACAGGATATGACCTGCTCAAGAGAGTGAAGGTAATATGGTTTATGACGCATCCATGTTTTTCTTTTTAATTCTTTCACATGATCTTTAAACAGTTTTGTGACACATAAAATTCTACGAAACAGGAATCAAAAACCCTTAAAGAAATCCCAGTAGTTATCATGTCCTCTGAAAATGTACCTACAAGGATCAACAGGTAAGACTCTTAACGAGTGCTCAATTTTCGCATGTGAAAGCTTTTTTGGATGTATTCGTAGTCATTGATAATTAGCCATTTTAATAAAATTAATCATGGTAGTTAAATATATCTTGTTTGACAGTGTCCTTCTTAAAATTATGTGAGATAAACTCATGGGCAGTCTCACACATAAGTTTATTTTTTGGAAAGCTGTATTTACTGTATTCAAAGTAATTTATTCAAAATCACATGTTTTTAGCTAAACGTAACTAAAAATAGCTAAAAACTACCGAAAAGTTAAATAACTAAATAATATGTTATACAAAACAAGAAATGCACCAAGAGCAAACAAAAAATATTATGCACAATAAATTAATTTCAGATGATATACTCTACTCATCGAAACATGTTTATGCTGTACAAAAGCAAGAAAATGTTAATTGTTATGGCATACAAATCATGTTTATGCTGTACGCGCCCTTGTTCAACTGAAAGGAACCTTTCCTGCCTTGAGGTTCTCCATTCGGAACTGCTAGGGTTCTGAGTCCGGTTAGGACCGATTTCGTGTGTGTATTAGTAGCCTAGGTGATAACCTTAAAAAAATTTCCAGCCCAAAACCGGTTGTTTAAGGGTCGAACCGGCTGTGTTTGTGTCAAACCGGCCGGTTTTGAGCTAACTGGACAGGTTTGTCGATATAACGGCATTTTTTAGTAAATAACGGTACTGCATAAATAATGGCATTATTTTGAAAAAGGCCTGCTCTATGTAGCAGGAAAACTGTGACTCCAATTTTTCACCTTTTTTTATTCGTTTTGCGGCCATTTTTGGGTTTTTCGTGTTTTAATGTTTTAAATCACTATATAATGAATAGAAAACACGTAATTTGGATTTAAACATTGAAAAAAAAATAGCTTTTTGGATTGAAATGGCGGATTTTTTAGGTTTTTGAAAATTTCCGCCATTCTTTTAATAATCTCCTCAACACCGAAAGGTTCTTGAAGAAATTTGAGGGGTTCGATTGCTATTCAAAGTATTTACTAGATTCAAGTTTTACTTTGTTCAGAAAACCAAAGATCATCAAGGCTTGATTTTGCCCAAAAAGTTGCTACTCAGAGAACCTGTGTTCAATCCAAAAACACAGATTTTTAATCCATTTATTGGTCTTTTTTTATCAAATTGGTATGTTTATTTATGATTGAGTAAATTTTTTTATATGAACTTTTTTTTGCACGAGGTCATGAAAATTGCATATTGTTTGATTATCAGAACATTGAGGGTCGTTTCTTGCTTGAAATGTTGCTCAATTTGATTTTTCTAAAAAAAATTCATTTCGCTTAATAAAATTATGTCTTTTGATCAATTTGGGCAGTTTTTTTCTATATTGAATTTAATAAAATTATCTTTTTAATAAAAACTTATGTTTTTTAATGAATATGGGAAGTGTTTTTCTATTTTACTTGCCAAAATTATTATTTTTGATAAAATTGTGGTTTTTTAATAAAAAAAAATTTATGATGAATATAGAAATAAAATTATTTTTTTGATAAAATTATAGTTTTTTAATAAAATTTAATAAAAATATTTTTTGATAAAATTATTTGTTCCACTGTTCTTATTTTTTGATAAAATCAATGCACAACACACTAATATGGATATGGTAGATACATATAACAAAACAATAGAACAGATCAGTGTGTTGTGCATTGATTTTTCGTTTTGTTGCATATCATATGATGTACTTTTTGTGAAGTATGCCTTATTTATCTTCATCGAAAGAGTATTGTATGAATTATGCTTTATCTAACTATATGGAAGAGGCCTTTTATTTTTCCTATCTTAATTAGTTGGTGTTTTTATTTGATTTAATAGCATCAAGCTACTTTTGTTATTTCCAAAACGTGCATCAACTTTCATTCCTAATGTGAGCGATTTTTGTACAAAAGAAACTAGTTTTTCATGTAAGGTTTGGGATGAATATGTTAATTCTTGGAAGAAGATATTACATGGCAAAAATATCTTCAAAGAATATCCTAATCTAGGAAACAAAAAGATTTATGTGACCTGCTTGGCATCATGTACAGGACCATAGTACTCAAATATTAATTTATAAAAAGTTATTTCAATTTTTTTTTTGGTAAGATAAATGTATATAGTAAGATATTATACACTTAATCTAAGTTTTTCTATTTTTATTTTATTTTTTTAGGGTTTTTGACCAATTTTAAAAACAAAAAATCTACTTGACTGGTCAGTCTGGTTAACTGCCCTGATTAGTCCGGTTCCAGTTCAAACTGCTCCCAGCCCCATGTCCGGTTAACCGTTCCTGTTCGATTTTGCGAACACTAATGTATATTGTATCTACCATTCCATATAGATATTTAACTATGTTTATGTTTGTTGTATAAATTTATCTATGAGTGTATATTTACAAGTGAATGATGTGCATGTAATTGTATGGATTATGCATGGACATGCATAGGTGTGTGCGCATACTTCACTGACACTTGTGTCGTTACACATTTGGGTGTGTTTTGTAACTGTGAGTGACTCTACACATGGATACTTGGATAAATGGTTGTAAGCAAGTATGTGTTTATGCATTCACAAATATATGTTTATATGTAGAGTACTTAACATGGACATGCATGTACATGTGAGTGAGGTTGTACTTAACATGGACTTGCATGTATATGTGAGTGAGGTTGTACTTAACATGGACATGCATGTACATGTGAGTGAGGTTGTACTTAACATGGACTTGCATGTATATGTGAGTGAGGTTGTACTTAACATGGACATGCATGTATATGTGAGTGAGGTTGGCATATATGTACATTGTGTATGTCAATACGTTGAACATGTATGTCTATACACTGTATGCTTAACATAAGCATGCATGTATATGTGAATGCGGTTGGCTTATGGCAGTTTGTATGTTATTAGGTAACGTAATTTAACATGTTTTATGTCTGAGCAATTGTGCTTTTAAATATGCAAGCTATCCTCATTTGTTGTACACCATATGCATGCGCTTGGGAGAATTTTTTGTTGAGATGCGTACGTGTTTAGCTCACATGAATTTTTTTTTTAACATTGTTTTGTATGCATCTGTATATACTAGCATGCGTGTGTCGGTGTCTAATGTACATCTATGCATAACGTATATATTATGTATGGTTGCATGTATGTCTGTATGTGTCAATGTGTACTAGCATGCGTGTGTCGGTGTCTAATGTACATCTGTGTATAGCGTATATATTATGTGTGGTTGCATGTATGTCTGTATGTGTCAATGTGGATGTGTAAATGCGGAGATGTGGTTTGTATATGTGTGGTTGCATGTATGTCTGTATGTGTCAATGTGGATGTGTATGTGTCAATGTGGATATGTAAATGCATAGATGTGGTTCGTGATGATTATGTGTTGGAATGTGTATATGCTTAGTATATTTATGCATGTGGACATGCTCTCACAAATTCTTGCTGGTATATAATACCATACATGCTTGAATATGTATGTGTATATTGAAGAAACTTCTATGTTTTATCTCAACAGATGCTTAGCAGAAGGTGCAGAAGATTTCATATTAAAGCCCCTTAAGCTATCTGATGTGAAGCGACTCCGGAATCATATGATCGGAATGAGCCAGAGATGTGGTCTTTCGGTTTAGGGATCCATCAAAACATGTAAACTGGAGAAAGAATCCTTTCATATTCTCCTTGATCAGTTGGGGGGAAAAAAAAAAATTCAACCCTGAAAAGAGTAAAAAAGTGAGACCAGACTAACTGCCTGCTACAAGGGAGGAGACCAGGGGGTTTATCATCTATAACGCACTGAATTTTTGTCCATTTTCTGTTTTTGTTTATCCAATGAAAATCAGGCTCTTCTGAAATGTGTACTGCAATTTTTAATTTAGATGAGAGCTCATCCATGTTGAAAGCTTCCAAAACAAGAACTGGATGAATGTTTTCTGTCCTCAGCTTCAGACAATCTCTATAAATCTCTATAGTAACTAATCTGTTATAGTAACCAGAAATTCCTTTCCCCCGTTTTTCTTAAGCTTCCCAATGGTTATGTTGAGTAATAAAGGTGTAGAATATTTTTTCACAAATTTCAATGCTAGCAGATACAAAGGTCATAAGTGTATTATAATTTTATAAGCATGTTCACATAATGGAAACATGTTCATAATTTACAGATCAGCTTGATAATTTTTTATTGAAGCAAAGATCAATGCTGCATGCGGACTGATTTGAAGATAATACAGTATTGTATTCTGCTTTAATATACAAATCTGTTTGGGTATACTTGCTGAAAACACAACTTTTATATTAAAGAAATTTTGCATTAGAAAATGCTTTATGTGAAGTGGCATAAAGAAAAGGCTAAAACTTATAAATAAAGAAGATGTAATTAAAAACAAAATATACATTTAAAAATTTTTATTTCGAAGTGATGATAAAAGTGAACGAGCACAAACTTTTATTTCAAAGTGATGATAAAAGCGAATGTGTGTACTCATCTAATAGAAAAGCTTAAATTTTTTAAAAACTTGAAACCTGATTTGGTGGTCTATGCAAAATATAGATTAAAGAACTTACAGTATCAAGGCAAAGATACAGCATGCGATCAAGACAAGGTAGTATTCAAGACAAAATACAAGGTAGTATTCAAGACAAAAGGACTTTTAAATTAATCAAAGAATAATACTCCATGTGTTCCCATCTATAAGAATCCTGAAGACTAAAACTAACATAGAAGGAAATGAAAGCAAAGTAGATATTTAATAACAAATTCAGAGCATCATCCAGAAAGCCCTTTAATGAAAATTGTTCCCTGTGAATTGGATCAGAAAATACCCATGAACAGTGATGTCAAGGGAGCACGTGTGTTTCCATATAGAACAAAACAGATGGGAAAGCATTAGATATTACAAGACCACCTATTATATAACAAATTCAAAGCTGGATCTAGATTCTGCGTGTGTTTCCCATGTAAAATTATGAAAGATGGAAAAACAATAGCTATCAAATAGCCACGAAAAAATGACAGGTATTATAAACAAATTCCAAGCAACATCCAGAATGCTTCAAAACTTGTTCACAGAGAATTGGTTCACAAGGCACACAGACACAAAGAAGTGAAGTAAATACAAAATTCCAGGCTTTCAAATCACACCTCGAGCTCAGGAATAACCACAGCTTCTGAGAGGAAATTTCATAAATGTTCTGCACAGGAGAATAAATTGTCCAGCAGCTTTTATGATTAAAAACAAAGAGCCTACCATAATGATCTTTGGGCTTTCTGTTTCTCTTCTTCCATACAACATTCGGAGGATGGGTTTTATAGTTTTTCTTTTGCTTCCCATTTAATAGGAGTGATGGGTTATATATATTGTTGCTCTCTTCTTTGGAATTAATCTTGTGGTTGAACATTAGCCTGCTCTTTCCATATCTTCCCTGTGAGCCTCAGCTTCAATTCTTTTCTATCTCCTGAAAAAAGCAGAGCCATGTTCCTTTGAATAATTAACCCATCATGGCTATCTCTAACCTTCCTGTGACTGTCTCTGATGCTTCTAGGGACTCCTTGCCATATTAGCTTCCTCCCATTGTGACCGACCTCTAAAACGTACCTGAAGTCCTTGGCCTCATCATCTTCTCCCATGAATCGAAGGAAAGCAATGTAGACAGGGAACGTTCCCAACATAAAAGCTTCAAAATGCAGGCAGAAGTAGTGCCCAAAACAATTAAATACCTGAACAAAAGGCAAACTCATCAGAAGTGGGATTTCGCGAAGTGTATGGATAAAAAGCACCAAATTTCCTTGTGACAGATATCATCGTTTTTTTCAAAAAATGCATAAATATCCCAACATTTTGAAAATGCATATTACCTTGGTATCATAGTATTTTATGCTTTATCTTTTGGATTTTATCCCTTTGTATTTAGGAGAGTATAGCATAATGCATGTGGTCATGAGAACAGATAGTCATAAGGTTTATCACTGTCCAATTAACAGGTTGGATGGTCAAGGAGGGGGAGTTGGTCAAACCAAGCATATCATTAAGTCCATAATATGTCCCACTATCCCTCAACTGTCCAACATATTGATGGGATATTGATAATCCTTACACAAATGTTGTTATAATAACCATATGGATTATATTCTATTTAGCTTTTTGCAGCAATGCCTAAAATTTAAGTGAAACATTTATATGAAATATAAGAAAGATAATCCATTACAGAACAGATGTAATAATTCTGTCTGTTTCTCTAATTTTTTCGATATTTTCTCCCTGAATTTTTCCATAGGATCTCATGAAGGAAAACTAAAATTTTCAAGAACTCCCAAGAAAACACAAAATGCGGGACCAGAAGGGCTTAATGATACTCACGGTCAACATCCAGATAGCATTCTCCACCTCATGGGGGTTTGACTTAACATACCGATGGTTGAAGGTGGAGCCGTTATGCATATCTACTTTGTGATCATCCCTCAAATGGGCCACCAAGAATGGAACATCACCTACCACAGTACACTCAGAACCAGCATAAGGGCATGAGAGGAGTCTATAAGTGCATTGAGATTCATGCTTGAGCTTGCTATGATAGGGAAGGACCTCAGGGCAACCAAGATTGCGGTTCTTGCACGGCAATTCCAGGGAAGCTGCCACCTTCTCTAGAGCCAAGCATCTGATATTCCCAAGGTCATATCGGCATGAGGGGCAGCGATTCTGAACTCGTGCCTTGCAACCAGAACACAGAGTGTGACCATTTGGACACTACAACACAGAATAAATGAAAACGTGTTAAGTAAAGGAACCAATATTGAGCTACAAACTATAAGATTAAATTTCAATTAAATTGCTTCCCCTTGTTTTGGACAAGGTTTTGAAAGGCATAATTTTCAAAATAACGTTTTGAAAGGCATGATTATCAATATTGCTTTGGACAACGTTTTGAAAGGGATGATTTTAAAAATAACTTCAAAGAAGCTATTTTTCCAAGAAAATGTAATATTTTCTGATTTTATCATTTTCTAGAGCTTCCAAAAGAACTTCCAACAATTGCCGTAAAAATTGGGAAAATTATAGAAACCCCCCTGGACCTTAGTTTCTTGGCATGCTCCCACAAGTACTTTTTAAACCACACCATTAATCCCAATACTATATAATTTAATATAATTCTTCTCTAAAAAATATGAAATTTGATATAGTTTCTCGCTATAAAATTTTTGATATAGCTCCTCTCTAAGAAATCTAAGATAATTCCTCTATCTAAAACTTGAAATTTGATAGTCTCTCTCTAAAAATTTTGAGATAGTTTTTCTCTAAATTATCAAAAAAATACTAGTTTTTTACTTTGTGAGTGGATGCAAAAATAATGACATTGGGTTTTGTGGCGTGACTTGAAAAATGTTGGGGTTGGGCATACCTAAAAAGTGTAATCTAGGGGGTATCTATAATTTTCCCTCAAAATTTCCCTTCCATGTTATTTCTTTTTTTTTCTCTCCTGGCTTATTAGACCTAGCTCCCTTTGAGCACCAACAATGCACTAAAAATAATGGTTTAAATTTGATTAATTACATTGTAACTCAAATTTGATTTGTTTTACTTGAAAATTAGTGTTTTTGCCTCCCTTCCTTTGACACATATACAGACAAACACAATGTATAAGCTCGTCTTTGAAACTCCCATCTCTTTGAGTCATTCAGAACAACTTAACAGTCTTTTTACTCAACAATTTTCTAGCACTCTTGTTTTCTTCACACATTCTTTCTAACCCCTGAAAAGTTGGATTTGAGGTGTGTGTGCGCACGCACGCAACAAGATGAGGAGCGCGCCCCCTTTCTTTCCTTCTTTCTTTCTCTAGTTAGTGTCCTCTCTCATACTAGCATATTATTGCCAGACTGCTTATGTAGTTGTGTGATTGTACTGTCCCCATTTTTGGGTACCCATGTATTCAATGTTTAAAAAACGGACCACCTGGCGCTTAGGTGCCCAAAAATATTTCTGCCCAGCGCCCCAACATGGGCGCCCAGCACCCAGTTTTGGGCAGGCGCCCAGCATAGTTTACGATTTTTTTTTTTAAACTTTGCCCAAAAGGGCAAAAGGGGTCATTTTAACCCCCAAGTTTGTAAAAAAAAAGTTTAGGGGTTTATTTTTCAACCCCAAACTGAAAAAAAACAAGAAACCCTCAATCTTAAACTTATTTATGAGAATCTAAAGCAATTGCTAAGATTGTTTGTTGATGACTTGTAGAGTTGGAGACTTCGATGTTATTATGGTTTATTTTATGCCTTATGGATATGGAATATGGAGAATATGAGAGTTGGAGACTTACAGTAGCCTATTAGACTTTTAAATGTTTTGTATGGTTCAAAATTTTGAATAAATTTATTTTCAACCCGAGAGGCTGAGACATGTGATATGTTTGTATATAAAAAAGGTATGTTGCGAACTTGCGATATTTTCAATTTCAAATGGAATAAATTACAAATTTTGACACAAATATATGCATATATGTGCATTTGGATAGCAAATATATAAAAAAAAACTAAGAATTTGCACCGCAAGGTGCTCGAGGTTCTGGGCGCCTACCTAGGCGCTGGGAGCCAGGCAGGCCACCTAGCGTTTTTGAGACCTTGCGTGTATATAGAGCACCCGAACTGTGGGCTGCCAACTTTAATTATTTGTAATAGCACTAATCCTATTAATATGATACAAGTTGACTTTTCTTCCAAAAAAAAAACGAGCATGACTGATTGACAATTCAAAATGCTAGTGATTGCAATACAAGTTTATCAAAATCTAATGCACATAATGTTTATAGAATGATAGAAGAACTGACAGAGAATCCAAGAAACCAACAAAGTCCTTATGAGGAACTCACAAGTACTTGCCTGTGATATAGCTAGGAGATATTCGGGTTTATGAATTTGAGGTTTGAGACGTAAACCTCTTCTCTGTGTTTAGGGTTCAAGTGGAAAAAAACTTAAGATTAAAATAAAAAAAAGCTTAAAATATAATGTTATATCATATTATTCTTTCAGGAGAAGAATCCGACAAATCATGAGAAGAGTCCAGAAATGTTGGACTCTATGTGTCCATGTGGCTTAAGAGTACTCCCCATGATTCTTTGGAATGGAGAATCCATGTCCATGTCGTGCCAATGGACATGTCTGGCCCAGGCATGCAGCCCATGGTGAAGAATCCATGCAACACAGAAAAACAGAGGGTAAAGATCTCCTTGTGGTATGTATTTATGATGATGATTTAATTTACGTTGGAACCAATAATCCATATATTATTCAATTTAGAAATGAAAGAATATGAATCCCATGAATTATTTTTCTGAGGAATCCAGTTAGACAAACTAGTGTAACGGAATTATTCTTCACAACAAAAATACATTTAAGATCTCCTCAAAAGATTTAGAAAGTAAGACTGTTAGACTGATATAACGTACTTTTTTGGGTACTTAATCTGAATTTGGAACTTATATGTTGTGCTGCAGGCCTAAAAGGAATAGTTAGGAGTCCAATGAAACCAAACAAAAAGTTTTCTAAAAAAGTTGCATTTGTCTGCAAAAATTTAGAGAGAATGTTTATTGGGTGCGGTTTCTATAAGGTTGCAACCTTAAACAATCCATTTAAGGCGCACCTTAAAATTTTATCATAATATGTAATTTTGTTGTAAATTTTTTTTAGTATATTATCTTAAAATCTATGTTCATACCTAATTAGAAAATTTTAAATTCCAAAAATAGTTAAAAACAAGTAGATTTATAAATATATGAAAATCTTAAAAATGGACGGTCTAGATAATATGTTTCAAGATGCACGATTTCGGAGATTCAAAAACTTTTTTTTTTCATATTCATAGATCTTGATGTCGAGATGATTGGTTAGAGGGCTTTTTCAACATTAAAACAACATTTCCGATAGATTTTTGAGGTGCATCTGTGATTCTACATTTTAAGGTTGCAACCTTATATAAACTTTTCCCATGTTTACTTGACCAACACTTGATGGGTCATCTTGTGTGGGAACATAAGAAGAAATACTTTAAAATAGGTATGGGGAACAACAAAATGTTGAAATTGTAAGGACAGGTTTTAGAACATCTTTTTCTGGACAATAATGACAGTCATTGGGCACGTGTGGAATGACCATAAGAGTATGCTGGTATGTGTCTTCACTCAGACTCAGGGACAATATCATGGTCATCAAAGAAACTGCATTATTATCAGCCAAGTTTGTGAAGGCATTAGAGACATGTGCCTCACCCTCGGATCTTAAACTCTAAAGGAATCCTTAATAATGGATCCAATGCTTGGTTTGGGGGAAGGTTCCCTCAGCATTATAAAATGGGAGGCAATATGCTTGGGACCAATACGAAGTGATCGTCACAAGGAGGAGTCCAAGGTGATTCAAGAGATCAAGGACTTTCTATATTTGGTACAATTATAAGTTATCGTGCATACGAGGAGGTGATTCATGTAAGGATGTGCATGTTAGTGATGAGCCACAGTTACCAGGATTGGGATAGAATTGGATACGAGATAAGGATCAGGACTGCGGGATTGTGGCAAGCAGAAAGCTCCCAATGATGGGGATCAAGGTTCATACACTTCAAAATCTAGGGATCGCAATGCCAATATGTAGGGAAGCCAGATCTAAACATCAGTGTTAAAAAATGCGGATTCGGATGCCTAGGTGTTTTAGGTGCCTGGCCGCCTAGGCGCCCGCCCAGAGACAGGGTGCCCTCACCAAAACGTAATAGTACAATCACATAACAGACTCAAAGAGATTATAACTTGTAAGACTTAAATGAATATACAAGATATTAGTTTCACTTTCATATAAGAATTATCTCATTAAGATATCACATAATCAATTATTTATCAAATAAAGTAAAGCACAAATAATAGATTATCAAAACATGACACATTGTACAAAAAAAGAATAAATTATTTATAAAAGAATATGACATATGCTCAATTTCATCATCCAAATGAGAAAAAATACAATTAATCACAAAAAATATTAATCTTTTAACTATAAACATGTAAATATATCGTAAAACAAAAAAAAAAGTAAAAGAAAAAACACATGATTCATAACATAATATATTGTATCAAAATCTAATCCAAACCCTCTTTTTTTCAACCTGTCACGAGGCGGCGCCTAGATTGTAGTTCCTTGCCCGCCTAGGAGGGCGCTCAGACGCAAGACGCATAATGACCCCGCCTAGCAAGCGCCTAGTCGTTTTTAAAATTTTTTCGCCTAGGCGGTTGGGCAAGCGAATTTTCGAACATTGCTAAACATATAGTGCTCGGATGGTGAAATATACAGGACTGAGCTCTATCTATTTGAAAATCAATCAAGGGCCCTGAGTACAGTTAAATGGTATAGTATCTACTACATACTACCATAATAGACCACATTGTTATTCAATACTATACTATAATATATACAACATTGCTATCCAATACTACACTGCTAAAATATACTACAGTACTATGTCATACATTATATACTCCTGGTACCATATGCTACTGTATTTAAATCTAGGGAAAATATCATTAAAGGGGATGAAACCTCTTAAAAAATCATTGGAGGAGTTAGATTATCCTTATTAACATGTGAGGGCATACTTTTTTTTTTCCATTTCACTTAGATACCCTTCAGTTTTTTTAACAAGTATCCAAATTGCCATTGTTCAGTATTGGGAATGAGGAAAAAATGAAGGGCATTGCAGTAATTTTGAACCCCAAGAGTCCTCACCCAAATGACAAAAATACCCTTAGTTGTTCCTCGTTACAAATAAGGAACACACTGTTCACTATTAGTAATGTGGAACAAGTACGGGTATTTTTTTTTCATTATGGACTTAAATCTTTGCATGCATTGCATTACAAAAATACCCCTAGTTGTTCCGCATTACTCATATTGAACAATCTACCTTATTTGTAATGTGGAACAACTAGAGTATTTCCGTTGTTCGAGTGAGGCCTCTTGGAGGTCAAAATTACTGAAATGCCCCCCTTTGTTCCTAATTCCAAATAGTAAACAAAGGCAATTGGGGTATTCAATTTTTTTTTTTTAAGAGATATCTAAGTGAGATGAAAAAGAAAAAGTATGCTCTCAAATGTTAATATGGATAATTTAACACTTTTAAGGATATTTTAAGGGATTTCATCCCTTTTTATGATGTTTTCCCTTAAATCCATTATATGCAACTACATAATTTACACTATGCTATGTAGCATATACCGCAATAGTATAACTCATTTGATAAACTACTATACTAGTGTATTATACAACATTGCAATACTATTATATACTGCTATACTATAATGCTAGGGAACTGGATCATGTGTAACTTAGGACCTCGACCCCTAATAGGAAGGATCAAGATTTCAAAATTTAAGAATCCGGGAGGAGTGTGAGCTCCCCTTCCCCGGAACGCAGGATTGGGATTTCAGAGTGGAATCGACCCTTTGGTAGGTGGATCCCAGTAACTATGAGATGAGCTTCTTATGATGCCTCTTGATGTATAAGGTCTTCTCCATGTACTTGTTTCCAAGCAATATTTGTTAAAAGTAAAATTTGCGATACAAGTGAGTTACAATACTTAAATTTTCTCTTGTTTCAAGTTGTTTCTTCAAGAAAACTCTTCCAGCCTAGTGGTCCATCGAAAAACGGAAAATATAACAAAGAAATAAGAAAAGGAAATTTAAAGTACTACGCTTTGGTGTAAGAAACTTATATACATTATACATTATCGTTAAATTATCTGCAAAAAAAGAAAGGCAGTCCACTTTCGAGATATAAAAAGGCAAAAACTAGAGAGCCAAGAGACAGGGATTTTCTATGTAGCATTAGAGAAAGCCCACATATAAACAGGCACATCCTTCCTCCTTCGAAAACAATATGATATTTCTACCATATGTAAACACAATATGTTTGAACAAAGAGTATTACGAATTTCCATGACCACAATTAGTAAAAGTAAAAAAATTAAATCATATATGCATTAAGAAAGCATTTCTCATCATTGCTTGTCTATCAACAGATCTAGCAACACACAAACCCATATGTTCAAATGTAAGGAAGAGTAATCAAGCATATAAACTAGTGATATATTGATCTCTGTCACAAACCATCTAGTTTTAGGTTCGAAAGGAGATAGAGAAGGCAGATAAAAGAGACATATTTATCTTACTTGGTGTATAGGTGGGAACATAAAGCTCATGCACACTGGACATTCCAACAACTCATGAATGCTATTCGCTGTTGAAGACAAGTTTTTTATGGTCCAAGATCTTGGTTCTTTAGCATCTAATCCTTCCAAATCAAGAGAATCCCTGAATGAAGGATTCTCTAGAATGCTAACATCTGGCAAGTCCTTCAATGCTTCTATGTCTGAATCACCTGATGCCATCTTCCTACACATTAACTACGAAACAAATATAAGAAAAATGTCCAGAATAGGACATGCAACATGATTTCTCTGCAAAATGTTCAGGTGAGAGCAATATGTCTTTAGAAATAAAAAAATGCCAAATTCCTTACGAAATGGGTCTATAAGTAGGTTGTTTGGCTTGTCACAAATTCAGAAAAATTGAATAGAAAAGAAAAAAATCTGAAGCCAGCATGATAATCTTTTGCTTTTCACTTGAGATTAGTAAACTTAAAAGCATTGGAAACTAAACTGTGCCAAGTTAGCTATGATCCATCTTCAAGGACATTAATTGAAATAGTGTGAAAAAATAACAAAACCTGAAAAAGAAGAATGAGAAAAGAAATGTATTAGAAAGATAAAAAGAGAGAAATTAAGAATAAGCTCTTTGATATTTCAATCAACTTACTACAAAATTCTGATTAGTTACACAGTATTCAGTGTTATCAAATGTGGCCACACAATGCATCATGTGACCTCATCGATTTGAGCAGTGTGCTGCACATCACCCGCATTTGGGGGCGCATGCCTACATATCCGGCTCACTGCTCTTGGGCGGAAAAAGCCCACGAAGAGAGGCATTAAGGTCATTTTCCCCGACGCATAGGGTGGGAGGAGTTTGGGGGATATAAAACCCCACAACACCCCTTAGAACCATTTTTTTATGCTTTAAAGGGGATTAAAACCTAGAAATTACAGACTATTTTTTTCTCGATTCTGAAGTTTTCAAAAAAAGTATATGTGGATGATGGGCTTAACGACACCGATGATGATGGCTCTACTGCCTTGGCTTCAGAGTTAGGAGATGCATTTGATGGATCATATGACTTGTTGGATCAAGAGTTGAAACATTGATTATATTCATTATCTTCTTTATTTAATATGACATTGTCTTCGGAGTTTGGATGTTATGCACTATTATACAGCCTACAGTGTAACAGTAGCTTGGTCGATGATACATGCTAGATGCTAATATATTTTCGAAGTGCTTGGTTGGTAACTTGGTAATTGGTATATGTTTTATCTAATTCAATGAATATTACTTTGTATTATATGTTAATTACATTACACTATTAGAGATTAGAGACAGTAAACTCTGTTGCTCTTTATGAGACTATCAATAGCTCAGGCAATGGATATATCAAAGGTAAAAGCCATTAAGATGCCTATTGTCATGAAAATCATATATTAATTTTATTACATGCAGTCTTATATTTTTTTCATAATCTTTTAAAATATTTTTAAATTTATTGACTGTATGGAGGTGATGAGCCCGCATGGGGGCCACATCAAGCTGCATAGAAAATCGGAGCCCTGAGTGCATCAAGTCTGCGTCCCGCATTTGATAACACAGTTAGTTTTAATATGATTTAAAAAAGGTTGATCCTGATTAGGATACCAATTGGAAACCTGTTTATTGCTTTATTTTATATAGACAAAAAAATAAATATTTCTATTGAAAGCCAAGAAAAGGTTCAAAGGCTTGAATTCATAATATACCAACTAAAATTTCGTGATAACACATACTCTCGTACTATAAAATTCAGAAAAAGAGATTGTTCTCAACAATGCACTCCTGATTATCTCACATACAAATCTTTCTCAATGTATTCCATGCCCTAAATTCCCCATTCCTATGATTAATATCCCGAAACAAGATTTAATTAGAAGAAGAGAAATTCCCCAAATAAATAACCAAATGAATACGGAAATCAACCAGAATTTAGAGAAATGGATTGTGAAAGGCAACCGATGTGCACCAATCAACCATAAATTTGACATGTCACAAGAAATTAAAACAGATCAAGAGAGATGGTCTTGACATAACTTACAGATATTTGGGAATGGAAGAAAGAGAATTAGAGAATGCCGTGAAATTACTCACAGGTTTCCTAGTAAATAATGAGGAGGAGGAGGAGGAGGAGGACAAGCGTAAGGAGAAAACCTTCTCTCTCTCTCTCTCTCTAGTATCGAGCAAAAGTATTTCTCATCTATATAAGAGAGAGATTTCACAAAGGGAGGGAAATGAGGGCCTTCGAATATAATGAAAAACCGGTCTTTTCGTGAGGGAAAAAGTTTATGTAAGGACGCTACCGTATAATGTAAAACTGCGGATGCCCCGCGAAAATCCATCCAAAAAAAATGTCGTTTTAATGTTAGAAAAACCCTTGTTCATCGTCTTGACATCGAGATGTAGGATTAAGAAAAATAAAAAGATTTTGACTTTCAGAAATAATGTATTTTATAACCTATTATCTACATCGTTTATTTTCAAGATTTTCATACACTTATAGATCAATTTTTTATTTTAATCATTTTTATATTTAAAATTTTATAATTAGATATAAAAAAAATTTTAAAATAATTCTAATAATATTTTTCATCAAAATTATGTACAATGATAAAATTTGAAGGTGCACCTTATCTCTACACCTACGGGTGCATCCGTATGCAAACTCCACCCTTTCATTAGAGGACTCAAAATGGCGTCATCTTTTACTTAAGACCACAGTTTTGATGAGTCCTGGGACGCATATCTACATACGCCTTCCCTCTTCCATTTTCAAGAGAAGAAAAAAAAAGGTTAAAATAAAGCCAAAATTTTATGGAAAAACTTACGCCCCACCTAAAAATTCGATGCTTTTGCATCAGAAAACCTTCAAATGAATCTTTTCAACCTTGATCAATACGGTGGTGGAAAAAAATTTAGGAACAATACATTTTTTAAACTATTTATTTTGAAGTGTTCATGGATTAATAAGATTTATACCATCTTTTATAATACAAATTTTATAATCAGTGGTGGAAATATATTTAGAGCTAATGCTTTACTCTCTTTTTTTTTTTTATAAGGCCTATGCCTTATAGAAACTGCATGGATTTTGGACTTAATTTTGTAAAGAGTTTATAAAGTGTCAACCTTACTATATCGAAGTAAGGTGCATCATAAAAATCCACTTAAAAAAGGTTTTTACTTCGCAAAAAACAATCCTACAATAGATTATTTTGACCTCGAGATGTATTGTTACAAAAAAAAAACAGATTTCATATCCTAAAAATTCGTGTAGCTTAAAATATATTATCTAGACCGTCAATTTTCAAAATTTTAAACGATTATAGATATGTGTTTGATCTACACAATTATGGGATCTTTTAATTTTATACATGGGGATGGAAATATATTTTTAGGCAATAAGGATTAGAATTGTATCTTTTAGCACGATTTCGAGATGAGCCTAACTTTTAGTGCTCAAGGTTGATGCTTTATACAAACCTTACCCCCTAATTGTTTTCATATATATTATTTCCAACATGGTGATCATTAATATATAAAAATAATTTTTAAAAAGTGAAAATGATAATATTTTGAAGAAAAATTTTAGGTCGTTGATTTTTTATCTTTTCTAGAGGGAGCACCATGCTCCATCAATCTTAAAGTTGGATGTGAGATATCTTGGAGGATGCAATGTAGTTATGCTTCCCCGACACCTAAGCAATCTTTTATAAGAATGATCACCTTTTTTTTAATCCTTGGAAAAGAATGTCCTAGCATGCTTAAAAACGACTCTCTATCTTTTTATTTTCCTATAAAAAAAAAATAGAAATTCAAGAAACTCAATTGCATTCGAACATTGAAAGTCGATTTCAATATGTTTGGGTGATAAAAATTTAGGATTGCATATAATGAGACAATTTACTTTTGACACAAGGTGGTCACAATTACTTACAACCATTCGATGTGAAATTTGATAGCTTGGATGTGTTCAAAAAAATTTATTTTGAAGTTTGAATTTGGTCAAAATATCGATACTTTATAAGACATTGAAAGCTTCAAAATTTTTAAAAGATACATTAAAAAAAAAAACACATTTTTTTTATGAAGTCGTTAAAAACACTTATTTTTATATTTTTCATAAATACTTTCCTACAAAACCTTTTCTATTCCTACACTCGCAATCTTTTAAACCTTCCAATTTAGTGAATTGAAAATTTTAAAATTTAGAGAGAAAAGAACTTACGAACATTAGGATTAAATCAAATACAAAAAATGATAACTTTCTATCGAAGACTAACTCAATAAGCTACATAATCCCACATTATCTTTTGAAGCTTCCAAATAATATACATCTAAAAAATTATTTGTGATAATCCAAAATAAGTAAATGTTTGCAAAAAAAATTTTCCTACTTCCACAAACAAAACTTCCTTGACGTTGTGTTCCCAAAGAAAACATATTCTCTACTAAAATTCGTAATTCAAAAAAATAAAAAACACTAAAGAGGAAGGGGAAGAGTTACGTTGAGGATATATATGGTGTGGTTTGTATAATGCTTGAGGCCTTAAACAATCAAAGTAAGCACACCTTTAAATAGTGTCTAAAGATATTGTTTCAGTACTGAAAATCTTAATGAAGATCTCAAAATTTATTTTTATTTCTAATTATAAAATTTAAAGCTTCAAAAATATTGTAGATAGAGTAGATTTATGCACCTTTGAAAATCTTGAATATTGATAGTCCATAAAATGCATTACAAGATGTACTATTGCAAAAACTTGAAATCTGTCTCATATCTTGTCCATACATCTTGAGGCCAAGATGATCAATTTGAAGATTTTTTAGTATCAAAACAACCTCTTTTAGTGAACTTGTGAGGTACACCTTACTTTGATGGTTTAAGGCCTTACGCTTATATAAATTTTTTCATATATGTATGTATGCAAATTTAATTTTAGACCATCTAATGAAATATAAATTATTTAAGCTAATGCTATTAGTTTACTAAAGTTTTCATGGATGCATTACTTGATAGCTATTAAAATTTATAACTTTACTTTCTAGCATTTATACCAATCCAATTTTTGGATTTAATTTTGGAGCATTTGTGTTTAATTTTTTATCATGTGATAAGATATAAATTAATTAAGTTCATTATATTAGCTTAATATAATTGCCATGGATACATTAAGTTTTTTTAGGGTAGTTCTCTGGGTAATCAACTGATTAAGTTCTCTGGGCAAAAGATAGAACATGGCGATGAACATTCTTGTGTTTAATTGTCTTATCTTTTTCCTAAAGAATCGTTAAAACCTCAGTCAGAATATATAAATGATGAAACCAGTCAGAAAAACCCCAAAAAGTGGGTTTTTGGAGGCGATTCCCCAAGAACCTGTCCGGACTCGGGGATAATTCGAGTTTTCATAAAAAGTCGCCCAGTTCACTCTGGTTTGGTTCAACTTCAAACTGGACCACTCTTTACTTGCGGGCTTATAAGCTTGAAGACCCATAAGTTTCACGCTAACTCCTCCGATTCCGAGTTGGATAGACATTTTTTTTCTTTTTTGACAAATATTACCTTCTTTATTTATAAAGTCATGTTAAAAGGAAGTTACATTAGAAGAAATAGAAAGAGAAGGCCAAGACGCCCCTCCTTCAACCAGAAAGTCATAGAAAGAGAAGGCAAAGACGCCCCTCCTTCAACCAGAAAGTCAGCCAAGGAGTTTGCCTCTCTAGACATGAAGAAAAGAAAAAGACAACGCGACAACTAAATCCATGATCTGTAACCAACAAGACCTGAGCTCCTAGGGAATCTATTGTTCCTTGTTACACCACTTTATAGCATTCAATGAGTCCCCTTCAATCACACAACAACTACTAAGGTTTCAAGAGATAAAAAATTTCAAACCTTGAAGCAATGCCAGTAATTCAAAGTGGTTTGGGGTAGCTACATCAGCTGGTCCAACATATGTAAAGATAACATCACCAGAACAATTATGCAAAACACCCCCAATGCTTGCTAAACTTGAATTACCTAGAGAACTCCTATCAAAGTTTAATTTAAACCTATCCAGCGCTGGTGCCAGCCAAATACATCTCGGTCTCATCCTTACACCTCCCATCACAAAACAGATTTTACAAGTTAATCATAATGTCTGGTTGTGAAATCCCCCATCAGTTTTTTGTAATCGATAACCAAAACCAAATGGATAATTTGACTTTAGTAATCAATCTTACAAATGATAAACATTCACCTTCAAAAGTGCTCATATTTCTCTCTTTCCAAAGTTCTCAAAGAACAACCCCTCTCGCTATTTTCCACACCATCCTACATGCATAAGGTAAATGTTGAATGGCTATGATACTAAGTCTGTCACAAATTCGAGTAGAGTAGGTTTAACCCCAAGTAACCCAAACAACCACTACCATATCCTTGAGGCAAAGAACAATGGATGAGTAGGTGTGCATCTGATTCCCTACCCATCTGCTTTACACATCAAACAGATATTAGGTAAGATTTTACCCCTTTTAATCAAGTTATCTAATGTCAAAATTTTATCTTAAATAGCCAACCAATAAACACCAGCATCTTGTGAGGAATAGGCAACTTCCATATTTTGGCAGCAAGAGGCAATGACCATCTCCATCTATCATGAAAGAACAATTTATTGCAGGACTTCAAAGAAAATAAACCATCGCATTCAACCTCCAAGATCAATTCATCCGTAGCCCATTGTGAAATATAAATCTTCTCCAAGATACCCAACAACTCACTCCACTAATAAAAATTAGTCTCACTAAGCCTATTGTATGGGAAATGAACATTCCATGAAACGAGATTACCTCTCAAATCAACTAGATCAAAAACTTTAGAATTCGGTTGTGAAACTTTAGCAAAATAGATCCGGGAAGGCAAGTTTAAGAGGGAGATAACCTATTGATTTATGATACCATAAGGAGAGATTATCATCACATCCAACATTCCACTAAAAGTAACCCGTGATCATTGGCTTGCATCTATAAATGGATCTCCACAAAGAAGGCGTATCTATGTTTCTACCTCCTCCTATCCACATCCTATGCACGTCAAGACCATATTTTGAAGGCAAGATTTGATACCAAAGCTGATCTTTAAACTGAAAACTCCTCCACCACCACTTACAGAGCAATGTCTCATTCGTATATTTAATTTTCGTAGTGTCAAAACCTCATTCACTCTTAGAGTGCATACTCGATCCCATCTCAGTAGATGAAATTTCTTTTATTCTCCAAAAGATTCGCACAGAAATTGT